CTAAAAGCCACGTTATCTGCGGGGAACGATGGCATGCCATCTGCAATTCTCAAAACTTTCTATGATATACTCCCACCTACACTTTGTGCAATATTTAATTACTCATTAGGGTCGGGAGTATTCCCCGAAATGTGCAAGATTGCCGTGGTCGTTCCGGTCCTGAAGTTGGGAAAGAAAGGTGATGTTCTCAACTATAGACCTATTTCCCTTCTCTTGTCATTTTCCAAACTCTTCAAAGCAGTCATTAATCAATATTTGTCTTTCAAATCTCGAAACATAGCCCTCCCTAATCAGCATAGGTTTATGACCGGCAGATCAACGTCTACAAATGTTGTGTAAGTTTTATATCTAACGCATCCCAGGTCGTCTGCAACAGAGGTCAGCTAGACGTGGTCTACTTTGACCTAAGCAAGGCATTTGACGATGTTAATCATACGATCTTTTTATCAAAGCTTTCCGCCTACAGGTTTGGTGGCACAGTATGCGACGGGTTTTAAAGCTATTTGTCAAAGAGGAAAGAGTACGTTCGAGTCAACAATATGAACTCTTCATTGTACGTGGCAAGCTCTGGCGTTCCTCAGGGATCCGTCCTAGGACCGCTCCTATTCACAACTTTTGTAAGTGATGTCTCTGATGCTAATTCTAATTCTTTGTTCATGCAATACGCCGATTACATTAAAAATTTACAATTGCGTTAAGCTTCAGGAAGATGCATGTTTTTTCTTTAGGTGGCGCTCAGCCAATTATCTTCCCTGAAACCGCGCTAAAACCAAGGTTATGACATTTACTTGGCAGGAACAGAATACATTTTTCACATATAGTATTCATGACGAACCACTGTCCCGGGCATCTGCAATGAAAGATCTGGGAGTTATGTTCGATCCTAGCCTGCGATTCTCTAGTCACCTAACGAGGCTTGTTAACACGTGTCTGCGGACGCTGGGTGTTGCCCCTTGCTTAACGAGGGACTTCAAGTATCCTTCTGCGTTCCTCACGTTGAACTGCTCGTTGTGCACACCCCAGTTAAAATATGCCTCAGTTGTGTGGAACGGAATCTCTAAATCAACTCATTGGAAATTGAACTAGTTCAGAGAAAGTTTATATGCATTTTTAAACATCGCTACCTTATGAAAGATGTTCATTGCTCAGTTATGAAGCAACGTTAGAGCGTGTTGACTTGTTAAGCCTGCACCGGCGTCAGCAGAAGGCGGATCTAATGTTTTTGTGTAAAACGTTGCATGGGTCAATTAATTCACCAAGCCCCTTGTCTGAAGTGTGCCTTAGGGTTGCACGCGTGCCTACTCAGAGTCAATCATCCTTTTATATTTCAAAAATATTTAGTCTTTTAAGCACAATTAATAGACTGATTGAGTGTTATAACCAGTACTCTGAAAAACTCGATATTTTTAGCTCGTGCTACAGGGCATCTTTTATTTCTATTGAAGATCTGTCCCGCTGGTGAATAATGATTGTGGTTCACTTTAAGATTGATTTCTGAGAGCGCAGACATTGTTGGGTCTGTGCTTGTGCTACTGCTTCGTATATTATTCGCTTTGAATCCCTCTTAAACTTGTATTTACATCACTGCAAGTTCTCTTCATTGTACAGAAGAGATAGAAATTGCATTTTGTTACCATTTTGCTCAGTGTATGTCGTGCATTCGCGTCTCCAGCTCGACGCTCGCCCTCCCGCGGCGGAAACGGGAAGCGCTCTAGTGAGGGTCCCCCGATTCTCCTGCTCAGCGGGCACGGCGGAACTGCTCGCGATCATGGCTGGCGAAATGTCATTTCCGAACGCAAACAACACTATTCACGGACCGGTCCTAACGTAGTGCCGCAGCCGGTATGGGATTGTACCTCACTGGAGAGTTTTAGCATTGCGCATAGAATGCGCATAGAAGCAAACGCCAGCGGTGTGCATTTGGGATAGAGTTGCGTGGCCCCCACGTTGTGCGTGCGCCTCATCGCCCTGAGCCATCTAGGACCGTAATTTTGGGCTCCGCGCACGCGCAGTATCGAACACGCAAAGCTAACGCCAGCACACAGCGCTTGCGTTCCCTCGTATACGCAATACTACAACTCACTACTGCTTCACCTGCTTCCAACGCCAACAAAACGTGCTGCAGTGAGCAGACTTGAAAGCAGGTAGGCGTACCTTCGAACTGGAATGGCTGAGATTGGCAAAACGACAGAGCATAAACATGAAAGTAGCTAAATGTTATAAAAAAATTATTGATTACAAAAACTTTTTTTTTAATTTTCTTTTTTCTATTTATAGGCACTTGGTCGTGAAGGATATTGGCGGCGACTTTGGACGTTTTGCCGATTGTCAAGAGTCGCGACTTTGATAGCAAAATATACTTTACCCACAATTATTGTAATTTTACATGGATTTCTCACATAAGCTAGAATGTTTACATTGATTTTAGACTATTTTTATTTTATTACTTGGTAATTCAAAATGCTGCAATTGGCACCACTGATGATAAATAGGACACTTTTGATTGTCATTTGTCCGCGCGTTTGAAATTAGATGATAAGGAGCAAATTATGTTACAGCTTAAAAAAATTCGTATTAAAATACTTGAATTTTAATATTATTATCATTAATACAAATTGCGGCAATGTATGCCCCCAATTAACGCCAAGATCACAAAAATACGCCATTTAACCATAATAGTCTTCGCAGAAAGGTATAATTTTGTTTTCCTTTTAGCATATGAAAAACTCGGACATTTTTATCAAGATAGACAAACAGTCAAACACTGCATGTAGACAAAGTTCTATGCGTCACGCGTTGCTATAAAAAAACACACACACACTTCAGCTGCCTGACTCGGATTCCGTCTTCGGGTTGTTGCAGTGAGAACCGCTTTTATTATTTTATACGTTTTGTGGACATATTGTAAAAATTGGAATTATTCTCTTATTCTTGTGCTGGGAATAATGTTAATCATTTAATACCAAAAAATCTATGAAAAGGCCCGCAGTTCATTATTTATTACGACAATTATCTGAGCGAGAAAAGGCAGCGATAAAGCACAAATAACAGCACTGATTTTTTCAACAACTACTACAACTATAAATATCAGCCTGGATCAAACATGTAGGTCACAAAATGAAGTTTCCGCGGACAACTTTTCTAACTAAATGATTACGATACGAGGCACATCTTGAGCTATAAAAAAATCTGAAATTAAGACCTATACCGAGAAATTAAATCCAAAATAGAGGTTAGTTTCGGTTTCGCTCCGGAATTAAAACGCTCATCCTTGCGTAAATATTACGCTAAACACCGTTTTTTTTTTCAGAATAAAGAGGTGACGTGTGCTCATAACACCCTAGCTTCCTCGTATTACCAGACATAATTTGTGTTGCTCAGTGAAGCTATCACACTAGACAGGTTCAACAGCGGCACGTATCTCCGACCCTCACTATAACCGCCATTTTGGAAAATGAGTGCCGCCATCTATAGTTAGTTCGAGCCGCGAATAATTATATTCAGTTACTGTATAGTTAATTCCTCTTTTGTATTTGTGTGCTTTATGTATTCATTTCCATCCTGCGTGTCAGTAGCAAAACCGCAAGGGTGTTCCAGGGCGCCATAAAAAAAAAACATTGTTTTATTGATTGATTGATAATTATTATTACGAATCCATCACAAATAAATTATGAATTGTGAATTATATACCCCGAGTACATTATACTCAACTTTCGGTTTCTTTTCTGGAAATACGATCTGTGGAAAATTCGTTAAAGTACCGGTGTCATAATAAGTAGACCACATAGGCTGTTTCAGAAATGACTACATTTTATTGAAAGAAAGCATCGTTCAGTGCCGTTTTAAATGAGCAAGGCCATGTAATATACCCTTTGTTGTACCATAATATATTGCCGCGCGCGCAGCTGGCCAAGTAGGCAGCGCGCGTGGCCTAACGGTTATCGCGCTTGCCTTACACGCAGAAGGCCAGGGTTCGATTCTTGGCCGCGGCTACAGATTTTTGTTGACACTGTAATGTGATGTTCTGGTGAATTCAAGAACCGCCTTGCTGATTCGAGGTTAGAATGTTCTACGCGCCTAACCTTCTACGCCGAACGATCCAGAAACCTACGAGGGTACATAAGGGGTTCCGCAAGGCGAGCGGAGTCAGTTTCGCACCAGCGTTCGACTCTGCTGCTACGCCGACTTCGATGCCCGCGACGCTCTGTTATTATCTTTTGTACCCATTTATTTTTGGCACAAGTTCGCCACATTCAACGTTTATTTCTTTCTGTGTATTTATTGTTCTTTTGGTCACCACCCGTGACAATATTAGTCATTACATAAACCCCAAGAGTGCAGCCGTTTTCACCTAGGCTTTTATGTTCTGTTCGATCTGAACCAGCTCGTTTGCGCCTTTACATTCATATACTAGCCGCCGTTGTACGTTAAGTGCAATTTGAGAGACGACGGTGATCATGACATTTTGACAGCATTGGCACCTCTGCATTTGTTTCTAGTATGAGAGTGAACACGCGAGCTTTCGCTGGTCGGGATTGCACGCGAGCGTCTTAAAAAAGAGATTTGCAAATTTAGGAGACTTTCATTTCTCTGTGCCGAGACGTAAGCCTACTACGGACTTCGTTTCCGGAAAATGGTGTTTTAAAACGCAGGAAATGCAAATCGACAGCTGTTCGCGCGTTCGCACTTGTTATGGACTGAGCTATTTAAAACTACGTGAAGGCATTAAGAGCCCCACTAACGTATGTATCATACACCAGTGCTGTCTCTTCTCTGTTTCTATTCCATGTTAGCTGCAGTCACCTTTTTGTTACAATACTCCCTCGGCGAAGGTCTCGTGCTGGATGAACAAAAAATGTACTACCCTTAAGTAAACTTCGACGTTTAGTGTTATAATCAAAGCCGGTATTAATTCACCCCAAACCGCTTGCTAAAAAAATGTATTATTAGAAGGGACTTGAAGATGCATGACATGAGTATACGGTGAGCTGTTAACGTTCTTATTCACTGATTTCCTCGTCTTCTCCTGAATCCTCTATCGACATGTTGTAAGAGTTATAAAAGGAAATCACACATTGCTTTCGAACCTCGTCCGCGATACATAAGTTAGGTTTCGCTGATTTTGACTCCGAATATTGCAGTATCAAGGGTAAAATAAAGTTCTCAGTAAAGTGTGACACTTTAACATGTATCGCTGGCCGAGTGGGGTTATAGCAGCCACCGCCTACAACAGAATTAATGGCAGCAAGAAACCACTGCCCTTCTTTTTGGTACATCATGGGTCCTCCGCTGTCTCCCTGAAAACAAATGAAATGATTTAATATTGAATTGTTTTAAGAAAACTTAAATAAATACACCAGGGATATCATCAGAACAAACCAGAGTAGCTGATTTAGAGCAGCATATTTGTGACTCACGCCATAGTAACTGCTTTCACTGTTTGGTAACATTTCGTTCTTGTTTTTTTGTTTTGTTTAGCACTATATATATACGTGTGTAGCTCCTACATTCTGGTGACAAACAAAAAACTGCAGAAATAAAAACGACTACCGCCCTAGGTAAAAAGTTTCGCTCCGCGACTCCAATTTGTTATCTCTATGCGAAAACAAGAATTGTACATCAATTGTATCTTCCTTTTTATAAAAAAATTGTGATACAGAAATAGAACGCTTTCCGGGGTATACGGCAATACAAATAAAAGCAGTCCGAGCGTACTCATGGGATGTTTATAAAATTAAAAAGAAGTATATTAATTTATTTCTAAGCAGTGATCAAATAAAACCTGCTTATGTCGCGTCAGGTAGACCGGTGAACGAGGAGCCAGATGAGGCTGAACTTATTGCGATGTGTACAGAAAAAAAACAAGAGGGGAATCATTCATCCTATCCGCAAGACTGGTTTATATTGGACGCCATTAAAAACTTGGTAAGTGCGATTCGGCATCAGTCCAAGGAGAGCCTGACCATAAAGGGCTTTTGTTGGCAATATTTAAAGTGGCTGACTTGAATATCATGTGGTAAACACTACAATTAGTGGCCCGTTGAGCCCGCTGCATAGAGCAATTGGGAATAAGAGACGCTTAACGCGTTCCTCTGGTATAGTTTTTACGCGATAACACTCGTCCACATGTTGCGAGCATTGTGCAAGATGCATTAGCTCAGGAAGAATAGGAGGTTTTTCTACATCCAGATTACAGTCCGGATATGTCGCCATATGATTTTTAGTTGCTCGAACCCTACAGGAAATCTAATAGCACCACCATTTAGCTCCGAAGCGCACGACATGGCTGCGGTTGCGAATTGGTTCAAAAAGCAATAGAGTCCTTTCTCGCGAGTGGTGTCCGAGAACTTCTCCAAGGAGATGGACGCTTGTGCGAACGCGTGCAGCTATTCTCTGCCTGAACTCTGGTGAATTTCTGTTTCCTTCCACAGGGTGTTTAATTTATGCTTGAATAGATTTCTTTTTTTAAAGCGAGAGTTGCACGGGCCTTTTCTGGAGCTTTCGTTTACCATGCTCAGTGGACATTGTAAGATGAAAAAAAAACATCGCAGTAAGTCGGCCAAATAACCAGAACACATTCGTAAAAAGTTTAAGAAGCGGGTTCACAAAGCATGTAACAATTGCAATAGTTACTCAATATTCTTAGAAACATTATCAATTTAATGAATTTGAGAAAAAGAAGGATCCAGTAATCGGATTTTTAGTTTATTTTTGTTTTATTTGCCAGATTTTAAAATTGAGCTTATATAGAGCGCCGAAGGCCTGCTCCCAATGCCGCCTAGACGAGTGACGCAATATTTTCAATTATGTCGTTACTAAGGCACTGTGTCGACGGCGCATGCACCGTGGACGTGCTGTTGAAATGGTAATGACATGACTGAAATGGACATGCACATTCTGCTAAGTGTCATTGTGAACGCTTGCGGCGCTCTTTTTCGTAACACTTTGGAAATTGTAAAAAAAAAATGCAAAGGAAGATCGATTAACACCTAGAAAACCATTAGCTTTTCGCATATTTTAATTGGGCTGGCCTCCTATATAAATTGCAGTCAACACTGCGTTTGCAATATCCCTGAAACCAATAGTTAACAGCGACATATTATAGATTTTAGTGAATTACCTAATTTGCTGTGGCGGTTGCTCTCTTATCTGATGTCCGCCGTGTTTGACAATTAAATGGGGAAAACTGCGCCCGTGCGACTCTCGTTCTGTGTTTAAGAAAAGTATATTCACATCGAATCGAACAAAAAAATATATATAAATCGAAATCAAACAACCTCTAAAATGCTTTATCTACTTCTGCCCCATCTGCTAGTGTACAGTACAGTTTCGTTCGCCTTCATAAAGGCACGCGAACGGCTTTTTTTTTATAACACTTACTATTTGAAGATTTTTCAAACAAACATATTATTTTCTTTGTTTTGATATTCACAATTGTTTGCTTAGCCCAGCTCTAGTGGTTGCAACAACGGATCTTGAAAACTTCACTGAAACGTTGTCGAACGCTGAATTCAAAGGCACAGTTTGCTTACATTTATCATTTGCGTTCGCATCGATTACGTTGTAAGTTGCTGCTTCGTTTCTTCGTGCGAAAAAGTGTCGGAAATATTCTGCAGCTGAGGGCGCTCACCCTCGCCCTATCGTGCTCGCATCACTATTCTACCGGGTTCAACTGAGAAAAACGACACACGGTTTTAGGGGTCGTACAAATAAACTACGCATGGTCGAAAGCTCAAACGTCAAGACAGGGCGACGCTAGCGGTAGTTAGAGAACGCGCAATTTGAGATCACATTATCTAAATCAAAAGTTCCAAGAAAAAGACAATAAATTCTTTGTAAACCGACGCTCACGTTAGCCATGCATTTCTAAATTCAACAAAATGTCACTTGGGCGTTTGTTGAATTTACCTAAGAATTGTCAACAAGCAAAACAATGTTGGATTTTTTTTTTGGCTGGGAATTTTTTTATCTATTATTAAAGTACAGGCTGTAGGCATTTACAATGTTACTTGTGTTTTTATAACAAATAAGCTCAGGTGGAAGTCAGTTCATATTTGTCTTTCAGTTCCTGCATTTATTTTATGCAAGTAACGTCCTGTTTTTAACATTATGGATTCTCGCACACTAACGTCACATTCTCACTTAGTTCCAGCTTTCAGCGACTAAAAGTTCATATATCTAAGCCGATATCTCGTTTTTTTGTTTTTTCCGTGAGACCTATTTATTTTATAGTTAAATAGGAGTCTTCAATAAAGACTTCGACCCTCTTGTTCAGCAGCAGCAGATGCACAGAGCGCATCGCTCTGTGCAAACTTTTAGACTTTCCTTTTACACTTAATACATTTTCGAATCCTGGTGCCAGGAATGTCACAATGTTACCTTGCCAATATGAAGAGCATCTACTGGATACAAAAACGAATGCAACCATAGCGTTTTCAGCTCGTTTTAGAACGGATAAGAGGAATACAATTTCAAAAAGTTTTAACACAATTTGCGATGCCCATTTCTTCAATCCCAGTTCCCATTAACAAACTTTCTTTCGGCTGGCAACTGAACCAATACGTCGCGTTACCAAATTGAGTAGGGTTCTTAATTTTTTTACATTGTAGGCATGCAGGTTACATCTTTTTTTTTATTTATTCAGGCGAAAACGCCATAGTTAAACTTAGTTACAAATGCATGCTCCGTTCCCACGGCACGAGGAGTCATTTAGTTCCAAAATGAGTTGCTGGGCGAGTTGGATAGACATCCTTACGTAACTTCTGTTTAAGTCAAGATGTCATTTAGCTCTTCGTGCAGTTGCCGACGAAATGAATTTTATTCTTGGGGAATTATGCAATATTTCATACTTACATAACATATTCCCCCATGGGAGCATAGGGCGTATTTCGGAACAGTTGTGGCAAGTTGTCGTTCGCATTGTTCGTGAGTAATTAAGGATATATTTCTTTCCATCAAGGTTTCTGGGTCCGAATATACCAAAACGCCCTCTGCTTCCGACGTTGACGCATCGTTCGTGTTTTCTGCTGAACTCTCATAACCCGCGGAATCTTTCACGTCTTCGTCTCCTTCGTTTAATGGTTTATCCGTCTCGTCGGAAAAACTTTCATAATCTGAATAGATTTGTAAAACATTTGATTCTTATTAGGAATGCGCCCCCATTAAGAATTTTTAAGCGATCATTGGGCGGCCCATAACCGATCAGTAATTGTTTCATATTTATAACGCGGAGCTTCATATAACTGAATACGTTTAACCAAATTGAAAATGTAAAACTATACATTTGTAAATAAAATAGAATTTTGGGATTGGTACAGAGGTTCAGCCATGCAAAAATAATACATTTTTAAGGGAGAGCTACAGTTACGTTCAAAAAGATGATACAATACCAACGCGCTCCGCAATAAAAGATATTAAAAAAATACGTTCAGGTTTTGTTTTGTTTTATCAATATTATATATTTAAAAAAAAAACAGAATTAATCTTGCATTGACAATTCTGGAAAAAACAGGGAAACACAAAATGTATAGCACGTGTGTCGCCCGTTCGTTGTGAACTTTTCTGCTTGTTGCTTTGACCTTTGGGTGGTTTTGGATGCGCTACACACTCAACACACACCTGTGATCTTCGGATTCATCAGAATTATTAACACAAGTTTAAGCTTCCTCAGGCATAGAGTGTTTTAAGTGCAGGTTTCAATGATAATTTTTTTTTTGCTTTTGCTTTTTGATGGGCGTGTGCAGGGCCATGAATCTTTAGTACTTTTGAATTATCAGAATCCTCCTGTGGTAAAGGAAGTTAATCGCGACAGAGAAGGTTTATTGTGCAATTTACCCTATCAATTGCTATTTTTTTTCGAATCTCTGACATCCATCGCAAGCTGTGCTATCTCTTCGATACGCTATGGTTCATAATTCTAGAATTTCCCGAGACTGCGTGAAGGCAGAGAAACGACAGGAAGAAGGAAAAATTTTCTTAACGCAGCATAAATTATATTGCCACGGAATACATTTATATCTGACCTGGACAAAAAAAAGAAGAAAGGGGAAAACATGGAAAAGGGAAAACCCGCCAGTGGCACGCTCCCAACGACAAAATACTTGGTACGAACACGAACTGTATCAGACATATTGATGTCAAAAATATGCTGAAGCTGAATTGTCCAATCAATAGTTCACAGTTTGAACAAACACATACAAAAGGGGTCGCCTCAAAACCGTGGATTGTAATTATAACAAGCTCAATTGAAAACATAGTGTGCAGGGAGGCACCAAAGTTGCGGTTTTCCACAAAGAGGCCGGAGAAAATCTTTTTCCACAATTTAGACATCCAGTTAGGACTACATCCGGGTTTGTATACAGACCGTATGGCAAGGCGACGGCAAAAGCAATTCTTTTGTACACCAGCTGCCATTAAAAAACTGTGAAGTCGGGTCTAGTGAGCCATCTCCTAAGTAACGCAGTCCAAAAGCCCAGCGCTCACTCTATAGTGGAGTCATTACCAAAACTGTTCAGCCGTCTCAACGAGACCAAATACCCTCAGGAGCTTTTGTACAAGTAGCTGCACTAAGTCGTTTCTTCCAAAAGGAATGCTAAGAAAAGTCCTGGGGAGGAGGGGAGGAGAAGGATGCTGTCTTACCGTTTTTTTTTTTCTTTTAATACACCATAACCCCATATCTATTGCTGAATTTGGGTCCCATATAGCATTAAGCATAGACTACAGCTTTAAAAGGTTGATTACCTTCACTCCATCTATAAATAATTACCTTAAAGCAACAAGTGTCGCGTGTGTTTCAGCGAGTCTCTACAAAACCACATTTGACTGTGGTTTGCGCTATATTGGTGAACCCAAGCGCTGTATCAATGACCGTGTGAGCGAGCATACACGGTGTGTACAGAATAAGAATCCGTATTCGGTAGTTTCAAAGCACGTCGAAGAAAGTAACAATTGTGCACCATAGTGTAATTTGACGTCTTCTGTAATTTCAACAGACAATACTGACTACAAACATTTTTTTAAAAAAGTGAATTTTAATAGGAAACCATAGAAAGTTAGTAGATAAGCCGGTCCTATATTTGGAGGCCGAGTGGAAAATATTTCTTGACCTCTAGCTTCTGTGGGGGTGGAGGGGGAAATATTTGTCGTAAAAGTTGTCTTTTTTGTCGTTTTTTTATTTTATGTTTTCTTTGTACATCGGTGTTCTTTAAAATGCACGGCTTTGAGGTCACCTCTTTTGTATGTGTTTGTTCAAACTGTGAACTATCTTTTGGATAATCGAGCTCCAACATCGTTTGGACCTCAAACTGACTGATATAGTTAATACTCATATCGTGTGTTTTACCCCTTAGATTATATCATTTACGCTTTTTTCTCCCCTCTACCCCGGCTTTCATTCTCCCACTTTCTTGTTCAGCCCACATATAAATGAATAGTATGGCAATGAAAATTTGAGCTGTGTTCAAGAATTCTCCCCTTCTTCCTGTCGTTTTGCCTCGACACTGCAGTATCGGGTAATATTACAATTGTGAACTTACACCAGCTACCTTCCACCTTCCCCTTTCTTTCATTTATGTTTCGCCCGTGGTGTGATGAGTAAACATGAGGAGGAATGGCCTCCGTACAGGAACCAGCTGCGGGCGCCGACGGTCACCCAGGGACTAAGTATGGTGGGCTAGGTATCACTCGCCGCCAAAGGTGGCCTGTGGACTCCGTTTCACTTTAAGTCCCACCGCAGCCACCGACGGAGCCAGTCAAGCAGTACCAAAAGTGCATCGTCAGAGCGCTAATTGCCTTTGCAGTTTTGGTATAACAGACGTCTAGGAAAACTGCTAGGACCACCTCAATGACAACGTCTAGGATGAAGTCAAGGACGTCAGGTCAACTTCAGCTGCCGGCGCCTACGAGCTTACGCGACCCGCAGTTACGCGATCGGCACTTACGCACCTGCGCTTACGAGCTAAAGCGACCGGAGTTAACATGAGCGGTGTTTAGGTGACCGGAGTTTACGCTTCAGCCGCTATCGCTTCAGCCACACTCATTACGTGACCTTCAGCGTTGTTGGGACTATAAGACTACTTACTGCCTTCAAACAATTTATGTTTTCCGGATGTCCAGCTGCCAGCTACTTATTACGCAATTAAAGTGATGACAACCGAAGCTACGGAACGCGGTTTCACAGTGTGGACATTTTTAAATGTAATTTTGAGTGCATGCGTACCCCCCCCCCCCCCTCCTCTCCTCTCCTGGCCCTGATTTCGGCTGTCACCATTTTCGCAGACCAAAGTTCCGTTCGACCAACATATTCAGCAGCTATCTTTACGCATATTTCGTCTTCTTGGCGATTCTTGTTTGAGTATATGCTAACTTGGGGCCATGAAAGGCAACGAAGATCAATAGAACTGCACGATTACAATATATTTTGACGGACAAAGGCAAGTCTGGCTTCGTTTCATTTGCACTTTAAAGACAACCCCGCAAGCTGAGCTTGTTACTGGAAGAAGCTTCATTGTCACTCTTAATTATGCATCACGGTTTTTCATCAATAATATACTAAATATCACAAAGGCTCGTTATTACTTTTTTAACAATTCCCATCAATTTGATCGTTATAGGTGCACAATATAATTTAGCTACGTATCGAACATGTTGGGAACACTTTTGAAACAGCGAGTTGTGTTGTGGTAAACGCCCTGTACCTGGAGAAACAGAGTCGCGTCAGTGTTAAGATTCTTTGGTGCTCATTTTCGCAGCCACTATATTATTATGCCCGTAAAAGCATACAAAAGAGTTCAATTGTAGTCAATTATGCGTTTAAACATTTTGTCGGGGAAATCTGCGTTAACAGTTAGGTCAGTGGATACGATTCATTGCTTTAATTATTAAATACACTATTGTGCCGCCGTGTCTCCGGAACTTTCTTATGTGTATATAAGCATTTGCTATTATTGGTTTCGCAAATACATTATATAAAATATTCAGTGAAAATTACAGACATCAAGGTAAGTTATACTAATACAGTGACTGTACCAATGAGGGCACTCTTGTTTTTATTGCTTGTTTCTGTATCTCAAAGTAGATCTATCCATGTCCCCGATCAATAATCACTAACGTGACAAACAAATCTGCTTTGTATCAGATATTTCAGAAACGAAGGAGTGCCTGCACGCCGTCCCCAAGAAATAATTTAAGGAAATATATAAAATCACCCGCATTCTTTTAGCATTTCAGAATCCACTTCAGCCACTGACCTGCCTTTTTCGTATACTGCAGCGAACTCTGTATCATTCAAAGGCTTGACTTTTATATTCTTTCTAAAATCTTTGTCCCTCTTATTTGTTTACGATAATTGATATGTGGAACAAAATCAGGCGGGAAAACTATTTACCATAAACTCTGCCCCAGCCAACAGCATACATGTCGACACTTGAAGGTGGTTCCTCGCAGTGTTGAGGAAGGCAGATTGGCTGAATGTACTTTGTAAAATTGACAGGATTTCTTAACTTCAATATTGCAAGGTCCCTCTGTAAGATAATACTGTAGTTTAAACAAGAACCGGTTCAAAGCTTTTTTTTAAAAAAAACAACAATACATACCATGAAAAGGGTACAGTTGTCCTGAAGGGGTACACAGACGTGATCGACTTCCATGCAAATGACCTGGCCTTCCAGATCCTCATGGACGGCTCTTGTATCACTTCTTTCTAGATAGTTCTCTGTGTTTTGTTGACAATGTACGGTATAATTGGTTTTTTTCGTACTTCCCAGGCGAACAGAAAGGAAGTCTGTAGTGTTCTCGGATCTTGAAGCATTAGGGGAATGGAAGAAAAATGGCAAAAATAACTATTTGTTGTTGAATTACTGAAGTCTACGTCAAAAGATGAATCGCTTCCACCACTTCAAATGATGGAGGAAAACAAAAAAAAAAAACGGTTAGTGATATCACGACGACATCTACTTAAGTCCTGATAACTATGGAATATAAGAAACGTATTCTATGCATATACCGAGCGTTCCAGCTAAGACAGAAACAAAAGCTGCTGCAGTAATTTGATCACAACTAAACTCCTCGCACGTATTTTTTTTTTTGAGGTGTGTAGTTATTTTGGAGAAATAATTAATCTATAGAGATTGATTCAGCAACTTCCAACGAAAGCGTCATTGCTTATCGCTAATCAAAGTCGCGGTCACATCATATATGTGAACTGTTATTGTGTTTAGTATTTAGAGTTTTGCTTAAAACAAGCAGTGAAAACCACACTAATGCGGTCTACGCACGTGAGTCATGCGACCAGGGAGACATACAAGTAAAAAAGTAAATTAAGTACAATATGCGAATGCACTTGACAATTAGTAAGAATAAGCATGGTTTCGATTATAAGCTTGCTGAGCGTCGTCGAAAACCATTTCTTCATCAAATGTTAGAAGATTCTGGAGTCCGTGGAGAGCGCAGTACTAAACTAGGTGCACGACGGTGTTATTTTATGTATCCGCGCTTTCGCACCACAATTTCCGGCTTCAACTAAACAAACGGCCACCTAGCGTTTCATATTCGAACATTTCCAGGAACGGTTTCGCACTAATTAAAGTTTATGCAACGGGATTTTCGGTCGCGTGGTGGTGGAAGCACGAAGCTGTTCCGTGAGGGCCTGAAAACACGTGCTTTTAGTCGCGGATAGCGTTGCACCTCTTGCACGAGTTATAACTTTAACGCACCACCGCGTTTCTCAGGCGCTCTAAATCTTGCTAAAACTTACTGACTTCGTTTTCTTTTGATGACGCTCAGCAAGCTTCTAATTGGAACCATATGTTTCTTTTCACTAATTACGAATGCATTTGACATTTCAGTTAATTACTACACTTAACGTGAGCTATTCAAATGTGGCTTCCTCAAGGACCGTGCTTTTGGGAGTTCAAGCGTTGCGTGTTATCCAAAACAAAATGTTTATCAAAGTAAAAAGTTAACCGAAATATCATCTTAATAGCCGCCAAACCCGCGATTGGGGGGGGGGGGGGGGGGGGGGGGAGGGGAAGGGGGGGTAAACTTACTTTAGACAGTGATTCGGCTACAATGACGACTTTACTAATTATTGCAATACATTTGTTCGTATTTTCCCGAATATTTTCGCGATTCTGTTTTCAAAAAGAGTTTCGCCCGTGAGCCTTAGACAATGGTGGGACTCACGCAGATTTTCTATAAGAATGGGGCTTAAACTGCGAAATTTTGTGAGGGGGTTATATTTCTCGTTCGAAGTGAAGATAAAAGTATTTAAACTTATCCACGCATACGCTAATACTGCGTTCATATTACGCATATGCGGACTTTTCAATGCCGTTTCGACACTTCGGTGATACAAATGCAGCATATGTTCCATTTTAATTCAGGTTTATTCAAAACATTCGTAAAAGATGCGCTAATGCCGCTTGTGTAGGCGAGTTATACGGCCAGGGTTGCATAATGTGGGTAGCTAATCTTTGCGATGAGTTGGTCGGATAATTACCTAAACTTGCTTCTTTAGCTGTTGAATTAGTAAAAATATTCATATGTTTTAAAATAGAAACAAGGTCTGCAAAATTGAAAACCCCTTTATCAGTCAATTGTTCTAATGACTTGAAGCAGTGGTCATTTTCCATTTTATGAAAACATTAACTAAAATTGGGAAGTGTTCCGTAAAGGATTAAGAAAACGCAGCCCCAAAAGTTGTCTGCCCCGTCTGCGTACGGTCCTAATCACAGTTAGCGGGAACGGGTGAGCGTTTGGCATCACACGCTGTCAGAGCATTCGGCATGGCAGGATTGCAGTATAGCGATTCGGACGCTCTTCAGTTATCTGCCGGGCTGGTAGAGTGCTCTGGTAGTACTTAAGAGCACGCACACTGACGTTCTCGATAATAGTGATCAAGATAGTACCTCGTCAAGAGCTCGACTCTTATAAACCCAAGTTAACCAATGTGAAATCCCAAAACGTAACGGAGGGTCTCGCGACATTATTTTTGTTCTGAAAAAAAAAAGCAGATGGAATGAGTGTATACATACCCATAGCAATGAGCAGCAGTTAAGACATACTGGTTGCTAAGTAAAACGCCACCACAATGGAATTGATCTTCCTTAGTGTACAGCCCCACCATCCACGGCCAGTGGCCCGGAGTTGCATTTGTGCCGTTAATAATTCGTTCAGAAACTGTATCCTGTATTCCACGTCGTCCACATACCTTCATTAAATTATCTTTTTCCCCGTTTGTGTATCTCGAGCATGCCCCCGCTGTAAATGAAAAATAGGAAATAACCGTTTTCATATGAGGGTATATAGGCGGTAATAATAATTATTATCAACTACTTTTTAAGCAAAATAAATAGTTTGGAAAAATTTATTGGGCTGAGGTTGATCAGTTCACTTTCATAGCTTTCAAAGAAATTCAGCTGCGCAGGAATACTCAAATGATTTCCGACTAAAAAAAAAAAAAATAAATCCAGAGATTATCATCGACACTCACTGAGAAAGATTGCATCGCTTTCTTACGAACTATAATCATGTCTTGATTAAATCCTTCTACTTGCATTCATTTATATTATAAATTGCACGCATATTAGTGGGATTTGCGGCGATGTAACATATAATAAATAAACAAAGGTAAAAGCTATATTCCGTTAATGAGAATAATTTCTACAGAAAATTATATAGGCAAGTTAAATATTTTTGAGATGAACGAAGAGCATTACTCAGTAGAGAAATATTTCTGTTGCGTTGTCCTAGTAGTGGGCATCTCATATAAGATTATTTTAAGGCAGTGTAGAAGTGAACAAAATAAGTTTGGTCACGCACTGTAATCTAATGCATATTTTATTCCCTCGACCCTTCTAAGTACTGCATTTTCTTCGGAGAAACATTATTTTGCAAAACCTGCCCATCTGGGCACTCTTAACATTTATTTGTTTTTCCGTTTCAGCTTTTTTTTGAGCCCATAATTGACGGCATATATATAAATGTGTTAATAATGAGCTCACCATTTGCGAGCTCTGATTGTGCTCACATTAACTTTAGTGCGTTGCATGAGTACCTTATGCGCGAGTCCCACTAGAGCATTAAAAGAGAAACAAACGACATCGACATGCATCAAACCATATCCTCCAAAGCCTGGCCGATCGCCGCGAGAAGCGGCCGTCGAAATGGGTAAGGGGGAGCGGCGGACAACGGGTGAAATGTGAGCCACGTGACTGCTGCGAGACGCCGAAACACACTTGTCCGGAGCCAACAAGTCCGTTTCGGGACCTCGCCGCTGCTGCAGGCTGTGCGCTGACGTCCAGGTTCCCCAAGAAATGGCTCTTTGATGCTCTGTGATACAAGATCCTCGCGCTCCAAATCTGCGACCGGGCACTTTATGGCTCCGTCGTCGAGCTCCCAGGCATTGTGAGTATAGAGGAGGCTATGCTAAAACACATGCACGGTGCTCGCGATAATACCTTTGGCAGGCGTTTAGTGATTCGGTGCTCGTGAAGTAAGCACGAGTGATTGCAAGCCGGCCAAAGACACCCTCGCATGCATGATGCTCGGGTTTCAGCATAGCCGTCCTTTATTCCACGGAGCCGGCCGATTTCCGAAAGACTCTAGTTTGAGGCTTGTCGCTGTCCTGTATTTTTGTTTGTCGCTCTCATGGGACCCGTGCACTAAAACACAATTGTATAGGACAAAACCTTGTAACGCATTTTGAGCAGCACTCAAATTACTTTTAATATACATGAACCTGAATAGAAAGCAACACATTTCGAGACGTAAACTAACTATTTTCTCAAATATATGACAACGGCTGAGAAGCAGGTGATGAAGTTATATTTTCTTAAGAAATAATAGAAATGTAGTCCCCTCGCTTAGAGCTTTCTCAGTAAAAATCGAATTCCGCGGTGATCTCTTTAATAGCCCTTCACCACCTACACAAATGAATTCCCCTAGGAAACCTAGTTTCCATAAGTTTAGTTGACTTCACAGGGATCTTCATCATAAAACAGAATTGGGGAATGTAGGCGAGAAAGTCGTAGAATAATTATGGCGCAGACGGGGTTAACTTCTTTTAGGCATGGCACTTGCTGTTACATCGTCTGCTTGCAGGCTTGCTTCATAAACCGTTCGGGGAGAGTGCACAGAGGTGTGGCTTCCATAACCCGAGATGCTCGTCAATTTTTCTCAGTGTCGCCCCTCCCTTTAATTGTCTACGTGCTCAGTCGGGATGCGTGTTATTGGCAGAAAAAAAATGCTTGATTGATCTTGACACTACGGATAAAGTCAATGAACGCAGAGTGCGTTTCCGTGGAATTTCTCGGTGTTTGTGATGAACATTGCAGTTCCTTCTTTCTGTGGTTATTGAATGTTATTTCATTTAAAGCTGTCCTTTTGATATGGTTGTGGGCACGTCTTGCAGTTTTCTTCTATTTGAAATTTCAGCAAACGGTTCAAATGGGAACGAAATAACGCCTAAAGCCACTTTTCGCGTTGAGGCGGTTAGTGACACCAAAGTAATAGAGACAGTCACCTATCTTTCCCTCTATATGCCTCATGCAAAACGCTTGCCAGCTACCATCATCATGATATTCGCATCCGCTATATTGTTTCTTCCCACATCTTTCATGCGTGGACAGTGGGCATCTTTATTTAATTCGGTTTTCATAATAATAGGAAAATTTATTTGTGGAACCAATGAGTTCCCGTTTAGTTTCAGTTCAAAGAAGAAAAGGAAAAGAGTATCGAAATTTCGTAATAGGAATAGGCTACTTCCGAAATTCCCCACAAGCAACACTGCGTGTGCTGCATTATGGGGCATCTTTGGACGTGGTAGGGTATACAGTCGGGGACAAAAGTCTCCAGGGCGCGCGTGCTGCGACTGAAACGCATTGCTTTGCCATCTGCCGGTGAGTCGCCTGGTTTCGAGATTTCACAAAAGCGCACGCGCTTCCTACTCTGCCTGCAAGCATCTGTGTTTTTCCGCTCTTCTGCGGCACAGCACCTAACTAGGAATTGGGCACGTGGTACCGCTTCGGAGATAGCGCTGGCGGCTGACGAGCGCCTGCTACACATTCCGAAACTCGAGATACCGCCTGGGGCGTTGCTCCGCGTTTCGGAGCAATGCCCCAGGCGTTGCTCCGAAATGCGATAAGCTGTACTGGTTATAAAGCAAGGTCAGCGGACTTTGCTTTATAACCAGTACAGCGTATCGCCCAGTTGAACTGCCGTGACTTCTTGCTTTATAGGTGCCATGTCAGTAAGCGCTATCTCCGAAGCGGTACCACGCGCCCGATTCCGAGTTGGGCGCCGCGCCGCAGAAGAGCGGGAAAGCGCACGTGTTGGCAGGCACAGTAGGACGCGCATGCGCTTTTCAGTAATCTCGAAACCAGGCGATCCGCCGGCAGATGGCAGAGCAATGCGTTTCAGTCGCAGCTCGCTTGTCCTGGAGGCTTTTGTCCCAGACAGTACATTACCCCAGCCATGGAGGGGAGTAGCGTGGTTTCGTTTCTATCGCCCCGTCTTCTCAGCACTGCAGAAAAATAAAGTCAACGCTCCCTGATAGCCCTTATTCACCTTCGTGACAGCCTTCGTTGAAACACAAACCTACAACGGCTGTATGAACATGCCTAGAGTTAGCGAGGAGTAGGAGTACGGCGGGCCGCGTCCCATATACCGTACCTTCCAGGCTACATTTCTACAACTTAAGAGTGCAGCATGACCCTCCCGAGTGACGGATCATTTAAGAAGTCTAGGTCAGTGAGAGGATGGAACAGGATGAGAGAGAGAACAAATCTTTATTGTAATGAAACATTCAAAGTGAAGATGTTAGCATATGCAGGACCAGCGCTGAGTTCCCCAGATCATTGGTTGAAATTAAGAGCAGCATATCAATCTGACAAAAAATAATATTCATTTACATATTTTCAGTGACCAAAACTTAACGTCACAATACGTCCATTCATCCCTGTTTGGATGCACCGTCCACGGACAAAGCACCAGTCCTATGTAGGAGGAGGTAGTCACGTTGCATATCGTGAGTTCCCGGTGGGTTATTTTGTCGCACGATTCTTGTCTCCACGCGTGAAAGGAGCTGCAGAAACCTTGCCCGGCTGAGGCGACGCTGGTTCGGTACTCCTACGGGTCAGTGAAAGAAGCTTCCGCCAATACTCGTCTAGCACGCCGCGATAGTTCTTTCACGTCCAATGAACTTTTCACCGAGCAAGCCCTTTACGTGTGGCTGTGGTGTGCTGAAGCGTTATGCAGAAGCGCAGAGTGCGAGAAGGAATCTCCGAACGCCTTTCCGCGAGTCCAGAACTTCGTCGCTTCCACGCCGAACGCTTCTCGATTAGTATCATGACTGTGTCATGGTCATGACTTGGGTTAGTAAAGCTAGTGGCACTTCGCGCGAAGCCTATCACGGTTTTTGTCTCGATCTGTGCGTAACAGTGGCTACGAGTCTTTATCGCTGAAGGAAACGTTGATTTCTCTTTTGGACAAAGGTGCCACGCTGCGAGGTTCGAGTTTCGCAGCACTAAGGGGTGGCGAGCAGGTTCGGTTCGTCCCCGCTAGCGTTTGATCGTCGTCTTCCTCGTGTGGATGCACCTGGGAGACGGGCGAACCGCGGACATGTCGTCACGTGATCAATCCGTCCGTGGATCACTCCGTCGTGTGAACCGGCCATAAGCAACAAAGTGGTTGAGAAAGCGCAGAAGCATACAAAACAAAACAATCATAAAAATAAACTGCACGATGGCTCTAACACGAAAAACGAACTCAGAGTGAGACCGTCCTCCAATTGCGTGCCTTTATCACGCGCGAGGAAAGTTAGACCTCTACTTAAGGTGGGCAGTGTATTATTGCAAACGAGTTTTCTTTTCATTTCCGTTATAACGCTCTCTTTTTTCGCATGTGTGAAAGTGCCAAATATTTCACACTCTGTTTTTGTTTTGTTTTTTTCATTTAAGTCTACGTGTACGTTCATTTCTGTATTGACCTCAAATTTTATATGCACACTCTCCTCCACGCAGCATATTGACATCGTGGTAGTGAATACATTGTCATAGGGCTTTTGCGGCGTTTTATTTTTATAGCTGGCGATGGGTGTCGGCAGGATTGTCCGATTTTGTTTTCGGTAAAACAAATATGACCAAGCTATTCATAAAAGCGGTAATGCCAACACCAAAGGTAGGGCGTATTCAATGATCCGAACACTAGATTTGAGCCATAACTAAATTTTGTGAGCTTTAAATGTTTAAATTATAATTAAC